CTAATTTACCCACGCTGTACTTCTTAGCTAATTTACAGTATACTGTACTTTTTAGCTAATTTTCCTACACTGTAATTTTTAGCTAATTTATCATACACTCTACTTATTAGTTAATTTGCCTACATTGTACTTTTTAGCTATTTACCTACACTGTACTTTTTAGCTAATTTTTCTACACTGAACTTTAGCTAATTACCCACACTGTGCTTTTTAGCTAATTTACATATACTGTACTTTTTTGCTAATTTACCTACACTGTACTTTTTAGCTAATTTACAGTACACTGAACTTTTTTAGCTAATTTACCTACACTGTACTTTTTAGCTAATTTACTAATACACTGTACTTTTTAGCTAATTTACCTACACTGTACTTTTTAGCTAATTTACTAATACACTGTACTTTTTAGCTAATTTATCTACACTGTACTTTTTAGCTAATTTACATACACTGTACTTTTTAGCTAACTTATCTACACTGTACTTTTTAGCTAATTTACTAATACACTGTACTTTTTAGCTAATTTATCTACACTGTACTGTTAGCTAATTTACATACACTGTACTTTTTAGCTAATTTACCTACACTGTACTTTTAGCTAATTTACTAATACACTGTACTTTTCAGCTAATTTATCTACACTGTACTTTTTAGCTAATTTACAGTACACTGTGCGTTTTAGCTAATTTACCTACACTGTACTTTTAGCTGACTTACCTACACTGTACTTTTAGCTAATTTACTTACACTGTACTTTTAGCAAATTTTCCTACACTGTACTTTTTAGCTAATTTACATACACTGTATTTTTTAGCTATCGGTAGTTTACCTACACTGTACTTTTAGCTAATTTGTCAGCACTGCAGTTTAACTAATTTACCTATGCTGTACTTTTAGCAAATTTACCTATGCTGTACTTTTAGCAAATTTACCAATGCTGTACTTTTAGCAAATTTTTCTACACTGTACTTTTTAGCTAATTTACATACACTGTACTTTTTAGCTATCGGTAGTTTACCTACACTGCACTTTAACTAATTTACCTATGCTGTACTTTTAGCAAATTCACCAACACTGTACTTTTAGCAAATTTACATACACTGTACTTTTTAGCTAATTTACCTACACTTTACTTTTTTGCTAATTTGCCTATGCTGAACTTTCAGTAAATTTGTCTGCACTGCACTTTATCAATTTACCTACACTAATGGTATAGTTTAGGTTTTTTACTTCACATGATACTTTAGCTAATTTACCCACACTGTATTTTATCCAATGGAATGGCTCAATCAATTTTACTTATCATAAATGAAAGCGATGACTGTCAATAGTGTTATAAACTACAGCTCTGGTGGTTCAGGATAATGCATTATTTACTCCCGGCAAGTGGCATGTATTTTTTTTAGTTAAATTTCACTTGTGCCTAATATCATAAATTACAAGGCAAATACATACACGAGATGCCACTATACATGTATTACTGTCCTTACACACATAAAATCCAGAGTTATGGAAACCAGAACTAGAAATTGGTGAAGTTCACTGAAGTAGACATGAATTATTTAATACCTGTTGCTTGTTTTTAAGGGAAGGAAGGATTGTGCCTTGGTGTTTAGGAAGGAGACGATGTGCTTGTGATGGGAGTTATGAAAGAATAGATGGTGATGGCGATTCATTTAACATGAAGTTCAAAGGATCCTCCCATTAAGTGGATGTGTGTGTAGATGTAGGTCCATAGACTTGGCCAAAATATGTCAATGTCACTGCCAACAACACTGGGAAAGTGGCTCACAGTTCACAGTGGGTATGTGGTATTAGCCTTCCCAGATCGTTGAACAATTTGTTTACCACAGCAGTGTCATGTATGCATTGTGGAATACACAAAAACGAGCATGCGTACTGCGCCCTGATACTCTCAGCTGGCGCCCTCTTACTGAATTGACGATTGAACTTTCAAGTCATAAATATATTTCTTGGGCCACGCACTTCTGTGCTGCCGTACAACATGAAATCTCTCTCAAATATATTTTTCTCCTTGAAAACTTCCCAGCAACACCAGCTGACAATGTGTCTGGACACCAAATACACTAAAATTACTCCAAAAATATTTCAATGGCGATAGATACACCGCTAAAACGATGCAGAAATCTTCAGATATGGCGTTTCCAGGTCGATCGCCTGCGTGTGCTCCCTCGTTGTTTTTTTCTAGAAAAACCCCTGCATCTAGTACCAGTGTATTTTACAAATGTTAGGGTGGCTTCAAACATTTCTAAAAAACTGTTTATAGTGTGGTAATGTTTGATACAAGACTAAATATTCTAAGACGATATACATGCAATATGTTTTTATTTTAAAAAAGTGTGCAATGTTACATGCTAGTTAATTTGTCCCACGCAAAACTAATCAAGAATCCCAAGCATCTTGAAATCAGCTGTGAAGAAAGTTTGCCCAGAAATATTGCTTGAATCGTAATATATACCCATATACCATTGTGTCAAGGATATTTTCACCAGCCATATAAAATAGGGGCTAATCTGCACTGGCTCGGAAGGTTGTAAATGATTAGCTAGTTTGAATTTGCATAACAATACTGACAATGAACGTGCATTCAACGCCACAAGTTTTTTTGTTTTTTTAGCCAATCAGAATTCATCTTCCGAGCCAGTGCAGATCAGCCGTAAAATAGACTACTGTAAAATGACTAATTTTACATGCGGGCAGCGGCAGCAATCCTTGTAATGTATAATGTTCAGTCCCACAAGCGTCTGCGCATTAATTAGTAGGACCCCTTCGATGGCTATTGCATACTACAAATTAGCTATGTTCAGATTTTCATTTCCAAATAAACGGTAATACTATTGGGTAACACCGGAACAGAGCAAAATGACTGCTTGGTGTAGTAAAAACATTGTGCAATGCTCATCAACGAAACAATCACATTACTATACACCCACTAACCATCATTGTTGACTATGGTCACTTTGCTCGGGCATTACCAGTTGTAAATGTTAGTTTATTTCTCATTTTAAATGCAGGTTACGATTTTAGTAATAATCATAACGTGTACAGTAGGATCAAATGTTGCCTATTATAAATTGAAGCTCGTGTGCAAATAACCTCCTAGAACAGTAGGAGCAGCTTCAGTCTATGCCCTCAACTCGTAGTTACCTACACTGTTGGATCATGAATACATTGCATGCACCTACCACATTCTCAATGTGCCAACATTGCAGCAAAGGAAACTAATTCTAAAACTTCCACAATTTCACGCATATTCTGCATTCACACATGTGAAAAGCACTAGGACTTTTATAGCATATTCCAATTCTTTGTCTGAGACCTGAACATCTTGGGCAGGATTTTGTATCCCAGAAGAGCATGCATACATATCCTTTATGAAACTAACATGTTACACTTTTTTTATACATTGTGCGAGACCCAGAATGAACAAGACCGACTCTGTAAATTTGTGAAAATGCAACATTCATCTACTCTGGTACATGTAGCGAGCATTCAAACACTGGACTTAATGTAAATCTGATGTCTTTATTATCCATGATGCAATATACAGATAGCAATATGGCCTTAATGATACTTGTCTGACTCCAAGGCACCAATGTATTTATTCATTTATCACAGAATTGGATATTGTGAAACCAACAAAATCTCACTTTTTTCTCAGATGAAAATCTAATCTATTTCTGCCCGTTTAATTCATGCTTATATTTGAATAGACTGCACGCATGCAATGTCAGAGATCCAAAACATTCTATTTAGAGAATTGTGCTTCAGCCAGCACAGAAGCAAATTCTCCAAAATAAGAACATTTAGTACAACAAAGTTGGTGTATACTCTTCACAACTTATAGAAAAGGCTTGTTTACTACGTACCAAATACAATGCTTTACCTTGCCAATACAGGATTCGAGCAATACTCAAAGAGACAGGATATCGAAATCCAAAATTAGAACTTGCCAAACATTCAACTGTTGAAAAATAAATGACGAGGTAATGACAAGACCTTAGAGCAGATACTATGATAGCAACAATGGATTCATTGGAATTGCATACTACTAAAATTAGATTCCAATGAGTCTATAGAAGCTTAAAATTCAAAGGTAAATGCTGATAAGACCCTCAGAATTGAATATATATATATCCCCCCCCCCCGAAATTGTTATATTCACCTTGTACATACTCAAAAACAATTGATAAAACCATACTGCTGATACTACTGATGTGTTCCATGAAAGCACTGGGTATATTAACGTACACGTAGCTATTCACGATAATTTTACACTACCAAGACAAAATTTTCTGGACAGGAATAAGAAAAAAATACACAATAAACTAGCTTCTTGGAGTTCTGATTTGTTCATTTCTGAACATTGAAACTGTTATATGAAGCACATCATTTGGCAATACATTAAAAGTCAATTAAGCAACACCGCCTCTTGAAACCTTGTCTTTGATATCCTCAAAATCCAGTTCACCATCATCAGTAGCTTGAACTTCACATCCGACACCAACTAACTTTTTACGAAGTGCATCTCTGCTGCTTGCATACAACATTTTCTGCTTGATTTTTGCAGTATCTGGACACCTAAAAAAATAAGCAAGTCAGTAACCAACCAAATTGTATGGCTGCTTTGAAAATTGCGATTCAAATGATGAGTGGCAGTTTTCCTTCCACCTTTCATAAATTAAACCCCCCGACTATGAATCTTAATGAAAACCCTGCACACGTGGTGGCATACAGTGACAAACTGGTGTTAACAGAATGAGTGCATGAATATTTAGAGCCCAGACAGATGTACAGGACTAAATTTTATGTGGCATAGTTTGTCCAAACTGGAACCTCAAAATTAAGTTATATTGTGAATTTGCTGCATAATTGCTAAATTTAAAACTTCACTAGTAAAATAGTAATCTTCGTTACAGAAGCATGTACAAAAATTGTGATTGAAACCTGTCAAATAAAAACAAATATATTATGGAGCCTTGCATACAAAAATGTACTCAATGTACTAGTTTTGATGATTTTTTTTACATTAATTACCACATCACCCCATTCATTTCAGCAATTTGTTTTCAGCAGGTGACGTGTTAAAATTCATTCTAATAAATTTGCAAAGACGTACAGATAGGGTGACCAGAACAGGTAATATGTGCCTTATACAAAGCAAATTCAGTTACTCACTGAGACAAAGATGCAGTGATTTTGACATGCACCGAGGAAAGAAACGGCACATAGAACTGTTACACCTCTAACAGTCCCCATATTCCCAACTAGACTAGCAAGGTAGCCAATAAACTTACCAGACATAGAAAACTAATTTGTTACGTTCACCTCCGTCTGGCAATGTATAATTCATATCATACACTGCATAACGACACTCATCTGCTGGAAGGTTACTTTTGAATGATTCGTACGTGCAATCTTTATCACTTTCTTTATGATGAACAACAATCTCTTTGAGGCTATCAGCAATTTTGAAAATCAAATATTTATATTTGTGGCCGATCTTGATCTTTTGGAATTCTTCAACAACATCATCATGGACAGCGACACCAGAAGCCTGTGGAGAAAACCAAAATGTATCTATAAAATATATGGCATATATGATACCATGGATGCCCTATGGATGCTTCTTAAACACTTTGGAGTTTCATGTTGACAATCTGGTTTGGTGCAGCAGTGACTAAATTGAATCTCAATCCCAAGACGGCCACCACTGTTGAGACTAAAATTGTCTGATATTACAATGAAGTAGTTTTAGTAGTGTTAGCAAATCAAGGAATGGTCAGGTTATCTTAAATAACACTTTTGTAAGTGAGTGGAAGATATCTGAAGGGTTGTTTATGTCTGACAGTGTCTGCTGTTTTGTAGGCCTTCATGCAACTATTTTGCAATTAAATATTAACTTGCCCAGAGTTCAATTTTTGTTGTCTTTTGTGATAAATCTAGAATATAGGTGTGGCCTAAAATTGTCAGAAAAAAGCAAAGAAGCCAGACAACAACAAGACAATGTACACATATTCGACAACATGTCGAGGGCAAGCATTCACATTAAACTTGGTATCGTCAGTATGAGCACACTTTCACAGCAAAAGTCTCCTTTTATATATTCTGAATTTCATGAAAAGGTGACACATAATGGCAATCGAAGATCTAGAGTAGTAAGGCCGAAACTTTCAAAAAACATATTTGAAATCAGTTTTCAACTTTATATTTATAGAGACTGGTAAAAAGATTGAATAGTACATATTTCTTGCCTCTGGAACTTTTTGACTAGAAGTTAAATATCATTGTGACTAGAGGATGGCAATGTAATAGAGTTCAACATGATTAAACAACGCTTTCCACTTTTTCAGCTATTAAAAACCACATTGCCATTGAACTGAGCGATGTTTAATTGTCAATAGATATATGAAATTGTCTAGATTGTTTTATTGTGGGAAGCAGAGAAAGCAACAATTAAGGCAAGTAAGGCATGGACCATTAACTAATCCTCTTAATTCCAACAATAGGTACTGCTTATCCACCATTCTATAGTTAACTTGTGCACAATGTTATGCACTGATATAATATAGACAATGGCATGACAGCATATAACAGTCAAATTAAGTTACTACAAACAAGGTTATGTTAAATATCAAGTTCCACGAGAGTCAATAAAATGTGAAGCATTTTGAAACTCAATTATGTTAAAACAAAGTACATTTATTATTTACATTCATATTTATAATTCCTATTCTATGAACCTGTAAAAACTTTTGAACCCCATGAAGGTCACCTTAAGGTCATACCACACACTTAAGCAGAACGGTTGCTGTTGTGAAAAGATTAACCTGCACAAGAGCTTGATCAACACAAAACTCAGGCTGTCTGCAGTTACCACACTGGAATAATGTTTGGATGGTGACCAAATAAAAGGCAGAACATTTTGGATACAGATCTTGTAATGAATACTTAACAATTAGTTTAAATTGTATTCTTCATTAAGAACAGATTTTCAGTAATCACTATTAAATGCTCTCAGAATCAACTAACGGACAGAAATTTGGTGCAACCCCGCCCCAAGTTTAACACGTTAGGTATCCGCGTAAAATGAACAACTTTATGGTCCAACAAACGAGGCCAGTTATATTGTACGCGTCGAAATGTAGCAGCATTGTTAAAGATGTTCAGTTTAAGATTAATAAACTATTATTATTAAAACAGTTAGTCAGGCCAGTTTTTTGCTGAAAGCGGAAGTAGATTAAAACTGTACATGTGTGTTGAGGAAATGCCGTCACCCGATATTTTATTTAAAAAAAACATTACTCGGCAAAAATAATGATAATACATTTATAGAAAGCCATATGCCGAAATTACTAAGACCTAATATCGTTAAATATTATGCATTTTCGACAAGCTGTCACGCCGCTGCCACTAGCATGAGTACCCACCCTAGATGGGAAGTTCAAATACCTGCCACACGCGATGTGATTTCCAATGCAGCAAGCAGTAGTTTTCCCGCAAAAAAACGTAAAAATCATCAAATTTTATTTAAATCCACTCAAAAAATTAGAGCTTGCATTTACTTACCATAACTACGGATGATTTTGTATACCTTCAACAAAACAACCTTAAACGTCACTGCAATTTTTGAATGACACTGAATCACCTTTACCGACCGACACAAGAAAATATACCCTGTGCCGCATTACCAGCCATACTTTGACGTAGTAATCCGCCAGTCAGTAAGATATTTTCTAACAACGATTTTGATTGGCTATGAACTGAGCTTCGGACCAATAAAACACGTTGTTACATCTGAGGACGAGATTTCCGAGCAAAAATCAAGTACTCAATTAGTTGATCACCAATAGTCGGTTACAAACAATGTTTAGATAATATTATATATAACAGTGAACGACTTAAAATAAATTGTATAATCAAAAAATCGTCAAAGTATAGATTCATTTTTTAATTATATGTATAAAAAAATTCTTCCGTGATTCGCCCAAAGGCATGTTATAGATCACGTGGCTTCTCACCGGCATGATTCACGAGGACAAGGTCATCCAATCATAGTGCCTGTTTATTGGACGACCTCCGGTTTGGGATTGCCCATATTTGGTTCACGAGGAAAAAAAAGGAATCTCCCTTTCCATATATGGTATTGTTATACCTGCCGACGCACAGCATGACTAAGACTCGAATATATACTTTGTTTATCTTTACAGTAGACGGGGGGGGGGGGGGGGAATGGCCAATTAATTTTTTTAAGATTATGTAAGCACATTCTCCATATATGGTAATGTTTCACCTGCCGACGCATATTATGAATGGAGTTTGTTTACCTTACATACAAACGAAAAAAAAAGATTGGAATTTTTTGTTCATACTTTTATAACATAAATTTGAGTCAGAAACAGAAAATGTCCCCCTTGTGTAAATGCTCAAATTTAAGATGAAAAGCATTTTCTGTTACCTTTAAAATACTATCAAATAAGAATAACATTTTCCCATAAATATAATTTAATTTCAACCAAGCAAACTTGCAAAGAAAATTTAATAAACGTACTTACAGTTTTAAGTATACATTCATAACTATGTGTGTATTTTGTTCATAGATAGTTTAAAATAAGATAGATCAGCTGCCTTGCGTATTTGCTTATTTTTCATATTATAATTATGATTTTTCTTATCTTTTGTGTGTTGAAATTTTATTATACAATATTCTAATATGTGGTGGATACGATATCAATAAAAATAAAATACAGTTGATTCTAATTTGCAACTGAGAAACTTTGAATTGAATATTTAACATCAAATAAATATTTTTGAAGATGGCCATCACAGGTCCCATGCAAGGTATACGACACCAGTAACAAAATAGTTTGTTTGAATTAAACAAACTGAATTGATTTTATTTATATTTACAATGTGTAAATAAATAAAAATAGTGTAAAAGTGTCTGCCTGTACTAATACTAATGATATTTTAGTAATATGAGGAAAGAAAATAAAACTTTCATTCTATATATGGGAAAATAATAAAACCTTTCATTCCATATATAGGAAAAAAATAAAACCTGTCATTCCACATATAGTAAAATCAAAGAAAGCTTAGAAAGAACTCCAGAAATGTGCTGAGAGTATTAGAGACACATTAAAAATAATTTGATGGAAAAGCTGAAAACTAATTATGCAAATCAGATAATTAACATAAATCAGATTTGAGCGAAAACTGACGAGGTCTGTGCAATGTAACAAATCATCTATGTACCAAGTTTTATTGAAACGTGATTAGAACCACAAAATTATGAATTATAATGCTAATTAGGGAATTGATATCAACAGATTTTAACCCCAAACTAATCAGGTTTATACATTTTCCTAGAGCATCTTTGTACTAAGTTTCATTCCATATATGGGAAAAAAATAAAACCTTCCACATATGGTAGCATCTAAACATCACAGGCAAACTGTCAAACAATAAGAACACTCAAAAAGTTCGAAGTTCAAGTAGCATTTAATTTTGTTTACAGGAAATAAAATGTATGCAATGGCTTTTTCTGCACAATTGTTCCCATCAATATTCTTTGTTTTGAAGGAAGCATAGTATAAACCAGGAGGAAGCAAACTCATTTCAATACTAGCAGTTTTTGCATTATGATTCAATGATCCAGTGGTTGTTCAGGAAAATATTATTTTGCAAAAGTTTCTGCCAGTGAAATTTTCACTGCTAAGATAATTACTGACTCAAATAATTCGGCCCGAATACCAATAATTCACTTCTTTTTAAATTGTGAAAGGAAGAGCTTTCCTATGTGAATTCTATTTATTTTACATTATCTAGTCTGTTCATATTTTGGAAATAACTGATTATAAACTATATTAAGTGAATGAAAACTATTGATCTATGAGAGCCTGCTATGCAATGGATATTAACTTGCATGCTTTGTGGAATTGGGTAATACCAATTTGAGGCATTATTATAACTAAACATAGCTCCTCATTTTTATTTGTATTCATATTTAAAAACTTGAGGTACCATATATTTTCTCTTTTAAAAGTGCATATACACTTGCATTTATTGTACATAACATTTCTATCAATGAAGGCCAATATAACTGGGACATAAATTCAATCAAATAAATGTCAAAATATATATATTGAGAATACAAGCAGCCTCTCGGCTGAGATAACTCTGCTGTTATCAATGCACATTTCAATTAAAGAACTGAAGACATCATTAGAAAATGAACAATATGTATAATATCAAAGCAATCAGACTTACAGTTTTTAACAAGAAGTCGAAAATATCACTTTCTACCAAAAATGACAAAAATATTCACCAAAATTAGAGAATTGAAGATATCAACATGGAATGAACAAATCTGAGAGAGGTCTACCCAAGGTACATATACACCAAGTATCAAAGCATTCAGGCTTGTAGTTTTCAAGAAGAAGTCGAAAAAGTAAAACATTGACACGGACGGACAATCACTCATGATAAGCTCCGCTCGACAAAGTCAACAGCGGAGCTAATAAAAGCAGTATACTGTCACTACAGTTTGGAACCTCACATTTAAACTTATTTATTTTCAGATTGCAGGAAAATTGTCACGATGGGTCAAACGTTAAATCACTTGGATGCTGATGAATATAATTTTGAAATGATCCAAGAGTCGTCCAATCAGTTTAGCACATATAGTGTGGTACAAAAAAGCATCCCCAATAGTTAATCATAACCCATTGTATGTAACCAAGCAATTTATTTAGTATTACAAACTTCTTGGATTAAAATATCTATAGTTTTCACCAGAGTCTCTTTCCAGAAAAATATGAGTGATACAACTCAAGTGTTGAAGTGAGGGAGTTGTCACCTGCGTATGCGTCAGATGGCTATAGCATGTTATTGTTTACTTACAAGCTTCTACCCATGAGCCTTTGCATTCATAGTGTGAGTTGTTATCGTCGATTGGGACTCAATTCCCGCGTGTGCGCAGGTGATGACCCTCCCGCTTTAATTATTATTTACTTTATTCACAATGCAGCTTTAGCAAACATAACAGATATAATACAGTGAAAATTACATTTGAAATATCTCTCATAACGTTTTAATTCACATGTACTCTATGCACCTAAATGGGAAGCCCTACAAATGCACAAACAATGAGATGTTTATAAGAAATATTGAAACAAAAAATATGAGTTGAGTTTTTACAGCTTTGGTCAGCGTCAAGTAAGTTGCATGAGGGCGCTAGCATTGTCAGTGCAAAACTGAACATATGTTAATTTAAATAAATGCATACATACGATGATCCTTCTAATGTCTGTTTTTCCCATTGCAATACCTCGGTCGCTAGAGACTATGCCTGCTGTGGTTGATATTGTGGGTTAAACCCCTTTCTTGGCCAACTTTTTTAATAGTTGAGGAAGAACTTAATTATCACGTCAACTACAAAGGTGGCGCCTAAACTTAAAGCTGCACAGTTTTTATATCCAAAGAGCAAGGTTGGATTTTCAATGTTGATTCACAAGAGGCATCTATGTAGCCAAGACAATGCTGGTTTACAAGCAATGTACAACTATACTTTATAATATATATACAACTGTAAAAATTACACTCTGCATACGAGTATAAAAACATGCTGCATTTCCATAAAAATCTCTGAAGATAATCAACACTTGAATTACAATGTCGAACCAAACACAGGAAAAAGATGTTTGTGGTAAAGTTCAGCAGAATGTGTTTGGTGTCAAAAGAATACCCAGGTACATCTGTTGCCTTCAAAGAAACAGAATTATGGAAAAAAACATGTAATTTCACTGGCCCTTTTAAAACATGATTTATTTTTAATTTTTTATTATTTTAGTTGCAACATCGATTTACAACGCACTAGATGTGGCCAATAACAAGTATCAATTCAATGACCAATCCATTCTTGCACATTTGGTTTTGACCTGTGACAGGTACCAAAATAAACTGATCAGGAAAAGTACTGTAATATTCCTAGAAATATTCATGTTATAATAGTTTGTGCTACAGAACACTTTATCATGTGAACTCTTCCATGTCCACTTCAAAGAGTTTGTGACCTTACTCAAGTATGCCCAAGATAAACTGTTTCCTGAAAAAATGTTGTATGCTAGGTTCTTGAAGTTAGTACTCGATACATAAGAGGAGAATATAAATCTTCCCAACATAAATATTTCTGAAATATAAAATGCAGTTTACTTCAAATTGGCGTTTGAACTAGCGAAAATTGTGTGACAAATTTTGCATACATTGCAAAAAATTAAACTTTATCAAACACCCCTTAACAAATCTGGATATGATATTATAAATGGGTGAACTTAAATGAAATGAGTTGAGCGACAACATTTTTATTAAACTTAAAATACACATTTAAATTCAAAGTTTCTGCAGAAATACTAGATGAAGTCACCAAGCATACTAGTAGTACTGGTCATATGTAAGTTTGAATTCATGATATCTTTCTGATACGATATTTAAAAGAATTGGAATTCAAGAAATCAATTGCATTCTGAAATTGTGCCTTTGAAACATTTCTTCTTTGGCCCACCTTCTCAAGTGTAGCATTTCATTACAAGATATTCTTATGCTAGAAGATATATATTGCCATTATCTGATCCAAGTAGCAAAAGTCTATTCATTGGTAGAGTATTCATGCACACCAAGACACCTTTAAATCCCTCTGAGTGGAGTTTGTTGCAATAGCTTAACTGAAAAAAAAACATAATAACAATTAGAGGCTAAT